AATGTAATAACGGAGATACGAAAAATAGAGTTATTTCTTATTTTAATATTTTTTAGTCATTTGAACAAATATGTTATACCAGAGAATAAATTTCATGTTCAGTTATATATATATTTTAAGCGTATTTATTGCAACCGAAATATCTAATTGGAACATATCTAACATAATAGTTTTCATAAAACAAAATTAATATATACACACACAAACACAGACACAGCCACAGACACACACGCACACACGCACACGCGCACACGCACACACGCACACACAAAACAAACAAACACACGCACGCACGCGCGCGCGCGTTTGTATACATATTGTCTAAAGAATATTATGTAGTCTTGCCTTATAAATATTTTTTTTTTACGAATTACCAATTCTGTCGGTTACACAGAATTACAAATTAAATGTACGTACATATTTATAAATTAATTTATATCCAAGCTTGTGCCAAACTGATCGAAAACCATTTTGATCTTTTGAATAGCAAAAGTTATTAATAAATCAAAATTCTAAATCATAGTTTTCAACTTATTAATTGTATTGATTTCCTTTATTGTATCGTTTATAAATGTCTAAATTATATACTAAAATTTATTATGTGTATCAATATTTATTAGTATTATAATTATATTGTATTGTATTATTATTATTATTCCTATTAATGATAAATACTGATTAGGATGAAAAATTGCTATTTAGGATTATTTTTTTTTGTAAATTAGCTACTAAGTTTCTCTCCATTAGTCTTGCTTAAAGTATAAGACGCATTTTTTTCTGATATAATGTAGGAAAAACTTTGGTAATTTAAAACAATTAATTAATCGTTGTAAGTTTTGTTGATTCGTTAGATATTTATCATTAAAGTTCCAAGTTTTTTATATATTTGAAAATCCTTCTTTATATCTTTGTTTAATATAATGTTAATATAAGTGTAATATAATTCATGACTTTTAGCATTTTTTCAAATTAATTATAAATTAGCTCAATATTAAAATCTTATATCGAGCTATAGTTATTAATACAAGCTTATTTTAATTTGATTATTGTAATTATCTACAGATGAACATACTTTTTTGTATATTTCACAATAGATATTGTATTCAATAGTCTTGGTAAAATATTCTAGTAACCATTAATTAAATACAGGATATTTGCAGAAAAATATATCTATTACTTCATTATTCCTTTCAAAGAATATATAATTTTTCTTGTTTCTTATATACGGATTTTTAATAAACTTATATTTTCAATTTATATAGAAAGTTATCTATACAATATTATGATTTTGACAATTTAATTATTAGATAATATAATAATTTTATAGTATATTTTAGCTTAATAAATTATAATAACGTTAAAGCATATGACATACATCATTTTTTGCAGTTTTGTCTTTATAATCCTTTTTTTTTATTATATTGTTTTTATTCTTCTTATTCTGAAATGTTTAAATTCATGGCATCTTAATTTGAAACATCACTAAATAATGTAACTATTGAAACTGATTTATCTTCAGTCATGTGAGAAAGCTCAACATTATTTTAACTACGTCAATATTTCATAGGTAGGCTTTGAATGTTTCTCTTTGGTATATCGAATTTGAATATGTTTTAGCAAAACATTACCTTTGCATAGTGTAGGAGACGTATGAATAATCCCGTTTGAAATATATTTTCGTCGTAATTATGAACCCATTATAAAATAATACTAGAAATGATATATGAAGGGAAAAATAAAAATAGTTTGCACATTCAACCATTTATTTTGTTTTTTTTATGTCGATATGAAAGCATAATATTCATGCCTCTTGATAAGTGAAATTATGAAAACCATAATTTTTAATAAAGTTTCTCCAACCAACAACAAGAACAAAACAACAAATTTGTTTTTGTCGTATATTTCACATTATTTTAATTTATGTATATACTTCAGAGAAAAATGGTTCAATTGGGAATTCAGTTGATTTTGTTTAATCATAATAAGATTCTGCATTCTTTTCATATATACTTGATGGATGTTTATATTTCATATTATTATGTAAGTAATGATAATATTTTTATTTATTATTTAGGATAATGATAGTGTGTGATGATCATGATAAGATAAAAGTGAATAGTGAGTAAATATCGTTTTATTTTATCCCGAAAATTATACAGTAGTTTTTTTAATCACTGTTGTATTTATGTTTCATATTTATTAGCATTTATAATCTATTATTTAAATCTTATATATAAAATCAGAGTATATACTTTTGTTTGTGATCGATATGATTATTTAGAATAAGGTAAATATTGAAATAAATTGATATTCAAAGAATGAACGTATCAAGTGTATGTAAGCATTCTGCAAATGTTTAGGCGAAAATTTAAAGTTAAGTAATATAATAATAATAATATAATAATATAAAGTTAAGCAATATACAGATATAGCTATATAGAAATATAGAGGTAGATAGAGTTTACGTATTTTATTAATACTAGGTATTAGGAATAGTATAAAAATATATAATAATGTATTAGGTATATTATAAGATGGATAGAGGAAGAAAGAGTTTAGCAAATGGACAGAGAGAAGGGGAAAGAGAATAGTTATGAGAGCCCGTGTGACCTAATCAGAAATTAATTTATTGTTGCGTGGTGTTTAATGCCTCAATTCGTTTTCTATTACAGAACAACCGTCAGATATATGATTCTTATACATAAGTGTCGTGTAGTAAACAATGCAGTTAATACTACAATTAAGTTTGTCCTAATTATTATTATATAATATTATTTTAAATATTACCATTAACTGGGTTAATAAGGAATTATAATGATACTAGTAATAACAACATTAAGGAGACTTATAGTTATTAGATTTTTTTTTAATAAACAAATGACATTCATTTCAATATATATCTTGTATATAATAAATATCAATAAGTCTTGTATATTAATTATCATTTATTTTAAAGAAGATTTTAAAATTGTATTTTTATTAAGTTTATTATGTTTAAATGCCACGTAAAACTTTATAAAATATAACTATGGAATTTTTAATGTTTCGATGGATAAATGAAAATTTTATCGAATGTTCATAATTACTATGAATAAGTTTTAATTATTAAATCACTTTGAAGTAGTAGATATTTTGATGAAGATTGATCTTGTAATGCATTGGAAATGCAAATTAAATATAAAAAATATGAATAATGATATTTATATTATAGTAGCTATGGATATGGCTTGTAAAAGATATAAATTTTGTTATGCAACCGTGAATAAGGTGTTTTGTTTCATTATTTTTGATCCTTAGGGTGTTATTTTTCTACTTTTTTTTTTACTATCGAAACATTTCATTTTATTGTTGAAAGATATTGTAAAGCTAAGGAAAACTTCTTATTTTTCATACAGGTGTTTGTCGATTTGAATGTTAGTGTCTATTGCAGCACTAATTTTGTATCCTTGAGTTATTTTCAAAAATATTCCTATAAATATAGCTATGAATACTCTTACCAATACGATTCATAATGCCATTTCAATTGACTTAATTTGAATTAAATGAAATGATGATACTTATATAACAAATACTTCAAAGCATTAATGAAGAAATACGTTGGAAGATCAGCAAAAAAAAGACTCTTTTTCATCAAGACACTAGAACAAGAGTTCGAATGAACAAATATCTATTTTTATTAAAATTTAATTTTAAAACATAAATGACGCATATTTTCAAATTTAAATACAAGTAGGATATGTTTATTGTAGAAAAAAGCTTCACGTCTTTCTTGATATGATTTATAAAGTAATATACCACTCGCTCTGTTTGCCACTCGTAATAAGTTTCGAATCTAGCTTACGCGTCATATCAATTACGCAATCGTCGAGAAAATCGTAGATATTTTAAAAATGAAACGAAACATGTAGGTTTAAAGGCTGTAAACACAGACCATGCCTCTTGCTTTACTTTTCTTTATTTTTTATTTTTGCGTTAGTTAGTGAGAGAGCGGGGCGGCAACTAGGCTCTGATATTTTCTAACTCTGGGTGGGATTCACTATTACGAGGTAGCGCTAAATTAGTTGCAGGCCGTCACTCGTCGATAAATGACGGCTCTCTAAATATGTGTTTCTTTCTGACTTTCGTCGATCAAAGTCGAGTTCCACTTTCTGGTTCCATCATTTATAATTACTATCATGTGTTCACTCTAACTTGTCGACTCGTTTTTCCACCTTACTCTCGTATGTCAATGGGTTGAAATTTTCAGCGCATTCATTTTATCGTATATAATAATAACGAGTTTTTAATAAAAAAAAAGAAGAAGAAAAAAGAATTATGCATTTAAATTTATTTCGAAATTGTGCTTTTAAAGTGAGTTAGGTGCTCCCTTTTAAAGACTAGTCGCTTAAAATTTATTTAAAAGAAAAAAATTGCCTTTCAAAAGCTGCGTAATTCTCTAAATTTTACTAACTTTATGCAGAGTTATTTTGTAAAATATAGTCGAATTACAGTAGATAGTATGCGAAGGAATGGACATTTTATCAATCTCTTTTCAATAAAATAGTCTTGCTATGAAGTATGAGCTGCGCTTCGTTTTAAAAGAATCGAATTATCTATCTGCAAACAAAATTTTTATTTATTTACCGTTTGTTTTCCTTTCATATATGCGTAAATCGACATTTTAAACTTTATTTGTAATTTCATTCCTTCGACGTCCAATTAAAACATTGAAATTTGCCGATAATACTTCGTTTATTCATTACACTTTAACTATTAAATTTGGTGAACTAAATTGCGCAAGTTATAAAATGTTAGCAAAATACGCATATCAGAAGTAAGCAAAGGAATTTCAAATGAAATTATAAAACACTGTAAGAGCAACTTCAATTTTCTCTGTCAACGAGTTTTCTCGAACGATCCGTTAGCTTCGTAAAACGTGAGTAATAGTAGTGAGTAAAATAAGCATATCAGAAGTAAGCAAAGGAATTTCAAATGAAATTATAAAACACTGTAAGAGCAAATTCAATTTTCTTTGTCAACGAATTTTCTCGAGCGATCCGTTAGCTTCGTAAAACGTGAGTAAAATCATATTGGCTCGCTGCTCGTGCTACTCTCCAGTACATTTTAACGTTGATTGCCATAAATCAATCTTGAGCCCTTAATTCATTAACTAAAGGGCTATTGCTGTAGTTTACCGGGGACAAGTAAACGCATCACGGTCTCCTGTCTCAGGGGCCGTTGATTTTTCTCCTATGTTTTCTCTGCGTTTCCGATCGTTACCTAAATACTTTTAACCATAGACATCAGAAAGATAATTTGAAATTTTTATATTTTACGGAAATAACTTAAAGTAGCTACCCACCCTTTCATTATCGATGTGTTTTAGTACTCTGTTAATGTCAAAGCGAGCCATTAAATTTAATTATATAATGTTATAAAGTCTAAGTTTAATTTATTTTATTCGATAATATTAGAATATAGTGTCGAGTTTTTACTGTTCTAGACATAAGTGGTTTAAGCTTTTGTGAACGAGCTTTAACTGTGACACTTTCTTCCTTACTGCATTTGTTCTAAAGTGAAAAAATAGATTACAAATCGTATCTTAGATACATTTGATCAGTATACAAATACATTAAAATAAGAAAAAATATTGAATTTTAGTATAATAAATTTATTTCATTAATAAAAAGAAATTAATTATAAGAATTTTTAGAAATGCTGTATAATAAGCAATAACAAAAATTTGTCATTAAATATTATTAGCAGAATATATATTTAATATTTATAATTTGTTATGAATGCTTAATGTACGCTAACAATACATTTATTGTATCTCAAAAATGTTCTTTATATGGTTGTTCCTAAATAAATAATTCAAAATTTGTTTGAAATCATACTTCGATGCGCAGGAATATATATTTGGTCAAAATTTGTAATGTAATTGACAAATAATTTATATTCGTTTAAATCATAAATACTATAACATTATATATATATATATATACTGTACATCAATAATAAAATTAAGTTTACAATTGCTGTGTTTACTTATTTGCTGTATTTAAGTTAATATGTATTAATAATATTTTTAATTGAAATCTTTATTTTCTGTTCTAGGTAAGTTCTGAAGAAAACAATTTAATTAATTATGAATAAATTATATCACGTGAGTATAAATATAAATAGTACTTAATCGAGTGAGATAATTTCTTTAATACGGAAAAGTCGTTTCAAGTTTTTTCCCACCAAACGTATGACATTTCGTTCGTACTTATTTAAAACGATCATTTAGATGCTGATCCTAAAGATAAAATTTTATATACCTCAAAGTGATATTGCCAGTGTACCATGGCGTTTCCAATGCCACATCATCATACGAAAACTATTAATTGTACAATAATCTCAGTCAGATTGAGCGCGCCCATTCCCATTACTCGTCACGAAGGAAATCAGACAATTAAATAAAGCGCGAGCAAAAAATTAAACGCAAGGTGGAAGACGCAGTACACAACTTTATTTTCAGCTGTGCTATAGTGCTGCTGCAGGCATATTTCGTGGTCAATCTTTTAACGGAGCGAGAGCAATGGCGTGAGAGAGGGAGCGTTGATAGTTCTCATCTTTTAATAGAAAATAGCACTCTCGGCATTAGGCGTCTCCTATTCCTCCCATCCACATACACACGTGTGCGCGCGTATAAGCGCGCATACACACATTCTCTCTCTCTCTCTCTCTCTCTCTCTCTCTCTCTCTTCTCTCCCTACAATATTCGGATAGTAGCTTGTAAAGCATCGCGTGTTTCTCCAACGCTCACATTTTTCTTTGGGGGCAGAAGCCTGACCTTTGGCACGCAAGATCGTATTTTTGTTTACCTGCGAGCTCGTGCTTCTCCTACAACTTTCATGCTGTGGGGCTCTCATTTTTTTTTTTTTTTTTTTTTTTTTTTTTTTTTTTGAAGAATCTGCATTCAAACTGCGTACCAATGCAACCAATTTCGAAATAGCACTTTGCAGAATTGTTTGGATTAAGTTTCAATGGTGGATGTAAATTATTTTATGATTCTCATTAAATCGTTTGAAAAGAGGTTGCACAGACGAGTACGATACATAAATTTATATTTATATTGTCTGAATTACTACTTTACTAGCGACTTAACAATGATATTATTTAGAAATTTCCTGGCAGAGTATATAAAAAAATTGTCATATTTTTACAAACACAGTTTTTAAATGGAGGTGTAGTGTAGTTGTAAACAAATTTTGAAGGTGTTTCGATCGATGTATTTGTACTAATATGCAGTTATTGTAATATTACTAATTACATTATCATATATCATGTTCAAAAATGTTTGCCTCGGAGATTTTTTTAGTAGCTAATAAATAATATTTGCGATGCAATATTAATTCAATTAATGCAATTAATTCACAATATGTTGTTTAAAAGTAATTGTTCCTCATCAATTCAATATTGTAATTCATAAAATATAAATAGATTATGGAAAATTCCAGCTTTCTATTAAAGCATTTAATAAATTAAATTTTTTTTAATAAATAGACGATTATTTTTGTAATCACCAAGGATTCCATCAAAGTTTGGTTGTATATGCATAAAAATTTTATGCATTTTAAAATGTCAAATAAATCCATAAAATGTGTGCCGTTAAAAATCTACAAGCATGTGCATCATCATACTTCATGTAGTGAAATTTCATTTGAGTCCTGTAGATTCTCGGCCTAAAATGTTCCCCGCACCCAAGAATCATAGGTACTGTGAGGATAGAACCAGAATGACATTTTCGAGGTGCCACAGCTCTTTTTATTCTCCTTAGTACCTTCATCCACTAGTGCCAAGATGCTTTAGCAGTAGTCAATAGATATTCTACACGAGCGTTTTAGCAGTACTTTTAAACATAGATATTTTTATTATACTTTCCTTTTTTGACTGTCGCTATAATTGTTCATCTAGGAATTAATTTTTTAATTGAATTTTAACGATTTCTTGATTATGTCATGAAGAATCGAGGATAAAATTGAATGTACGGGTTACAAATGTAATTTCCGGATCCGATAATGACTTTATCATTTCTTATTTCATTGTTTGAATTTAGAAAAAAAAAAAAACGATAAAAATGTATAGCCTGTACATCAAATACCAATGTATTTGAAATACATGTACCAACTGTATATCGTAAAATTAATGAAAATCGAATCTTTTACATTGGACAACGTCCAATTATAATTTTAATTTTAAAAATATTTTTTTGATAACATAGAAATGGAAAGTTTATTTAAATAGCATAACTTCCACTATCTTTATAATTTATTTCGTAACTATATTAATTTGAATTTTAGTCGCTTTATTACTTGATGTAATATATTATTTTCAAATTATAAAATTTAATAAAAAGATTTAAGAAAATATCTGAAGGCTTGTCAATATTATTTTTAAATTAACGAAGATTTATAAACGACTAGCAACTACAATATTCATATATTCAATACAATTAAGTAAAATTTAAATTATATATTATTAAAGTATATGAAAATATCACATTTATGAAAAATTTGCAAATTATTGGACAGATGACTATTATAATATTAGATTCTTTGTTTAAATTTTCATTTTTAATACTCTTATGAATCTGCTAAGTTAGTTAACTTAATCGAACTAAGATCAGATACCAAATAGACCGGTATCAATTTCAATTACAGCGTATTTATTAAATATGCGTAGTAAATATACAATTTTTATGCCTTTAACGAAATTTTATTTTAAAATGTTAGAGAATGTTATTAAAATGATATTACATGTGTTATATTATCCTTAAAAAAATTTCTATTTCTAAAGCATTGATAGAGAAATATGACGGATAGTAAAGTATGTTTTATGATGTCATTTGTTTTGAATTATGCGTTTCCGTAACTTTAAATGAAACTTTATCGTCTGCAAATTATATCTATTAAGCGGGTGGGAAGAAAGAACTTTAGATAGGAAGCGATTAAAATAAAATTTTTATGGTCATGTAAGCTTTATGATCAACAATGTTATTATATTCTATTTTGATAAAGAAATTTTAAATTATTGTTATTTCTATAAGAAAGTCATCAATTCATTTCATCCTCTAATTTAGTTGCCATTTTTAAAATCCTGTTTTTATTTTTTAAAACAAATTTTTTTAATTGTCTTAGAACTTTTTTATAATATTAAAAAAATATATATTTTGAGACTAACAATAAAATAACAATATAATTGGAATAGAACTTTATGGTACATATGATTTTTAAGAGCTTATTGGAGACAACAAAATGGATTTTTTTTATTATATCTCATGAATTTTAAATATTACATTTTTATTCTTACCATTTCTGTTCAGCCGCTGTCAAAAGAAGTGGAAACATTGATGACTCAACAAGACGTATAATTAAAGCTGCCTTTTAATATAGAATACATATTTAAATTTCCCCTGGGATTATTATTCCCAAATTATTTCATTACAATGCCAATAGGATTTCATAACTCATAAAATTATCAAAATTTGATATCAGCTTTCCCAAGTTCGTACGACCCAACCTCAAACGCAGCCACTTTATCATAAAATGTATTTGAGTATTCGTGCCTTTGATCGTTCATGCCAGCACTTAATAATTGAGGGGCTGGTTGAGGGGGATAGAGGGTTGGAAAAGCGCGACAATAATTCCAAGCTGATCGCGCCTCTGCCAACGACGATGGCGGAAGAGACTGCTTATTTTATGAGAAAGGAGGTCGAGGTTGAGACTGCGCAAGCTTATTTATGCCTCTTCGTTACGCCTCTTGGATGCCTTGGTCCAGTCGTCATTTGCAACGATAATTACGTAGAGCCATTCTTTGAAGGTTCCTTTCTTATATTTTTTTTTCATTCATTGATTTGCCTTCGCAGTAGAGATCCACGATTGTTGTAATGAAACGTCCAATTAATTTAAAATCCAATACTTTATCGATTAATTTAGACAACTTATTCAAGACAACGGTAGTTCATTAAATTATTCAGAGATATTTGTAATTGTAAAATCTTATGTACATAGATAATATTTTAAACTTA